TTTTAGCTTTGCAAAGAAATACGAAACCTTTATTATGTATTGTAATTTGTCTCAAAACCTTGTCCGGCCAATTCGACCTGACGTGTCCAATCAGACACCTTAAATGGCACTATGAGACTGGCGTGACAGACCAGTTTTTCCACATGATCCTCCATGTGACAATAAAACCAACAATAAAAAAAATATCCTAATTACTTTTGGGGAATTATGATATTTGGGTGCCATTATGATGTTTGGGGAATTAGGATTTTTTTTATTGTTGGTTCTATCGCCACATGGAGGATGATGAAAAATTGGTCTGCCACGCAAGCTTATCAGTCCCATTTAAGATTTTTGATCAGACACGTCAGCTCGTGTTAGCCTGAAAATGGTTTTGAGACAAATTTGCAACACATAATAAATTTTTGGTATTTGTATGCAAAGCTAAAAATGTTGAGTTTTATTTGCAATTGTACAAAAGGTGAGGATTTTACGTGAAATTAACCCTTACCTCTAAACTCATATCCACATTACTTAAATAAAAAAAAAATCAGGGGGACCAACACATAAATATAGGATTAAGGGGGCGATTGTTTATGATTTGAACAGTAAAAAAACCAATCAAAACTCAAATTTAACTCAATTTTAACCCAACTTCACTATCTCTTATATTATCAATATAATTAAATAATATCAACCAATCATTCATACACATCTCATCAACTTTAATTCACTATTCATCCACTCACATAATTTTAACTAACTATCACTTCCAATCAATTTTCTTCTACTTTACATCAAATCAACTTTAATTATTATATTTAAATATTATTTTAATCTATCCACTAACAACTAACCATACCACCTTTTTCCAAAACTAACTATAGTTAAAAAATAAACTAAATAAAAACTAGTTGAATCCATAAACAATCGTAGGCTTGTAGCAACTAGCAATATGCAAAATTCTACTATATATAATTTGCAGCAAGAGACAACATCACAAAAAGGTCAAAGGGACACTCATCACCAACTCGCCCACCCATACAAACACAACAACAGTAAGGAATGTAAGCTTGTATTTCTATAACCCACCTCATAAATCTTTTCTTTTCGGTTTTACTGTGTACACAAATTTGTTTCTCATCAATAAAATTCTCTACTTTGCCAGCCACCATTTTTGCTCCTTCTGTAGTAGCTGTGCGGCCAGTGCCACCTTCAACACTTGTAAAAGATGAGAGCTTTTCTTTAAGAAACAAAGCCTAATTACAGTCAAAAGAACCGGCTTTTCCTTAGCACACCATTTCCACTCGAGCACATGTTGGGATTTTCAGAGCTAGCGACAAAAAGGGTTAAGAAAATATGATGCAATACAAATGGGGGTTTGACTGAACCGAGATTTTTTGAGGACCCATTTTGGTATTCTTGCTTTTTACATCGGAAAAATTCAACCTTGGTGCTTGTTTTATACAGCGGTAATTTACTTTGTGTTTCTTGGTTCTTGTTAGTTTAGTTGATTTGTAATGGTTAAGTTGAGTTGTTATGGTCTTTTTTGTGTCTTGTCTGATTTGCAGAGATGGGTTTTGAAGGGTTTAGCAGAAGTAAGTGGCCTGGCCTGGTTACACATAAGCGTTCAAAAAGGTATCCTGTTTATGTAGTTTTCTGATTTTGGAATTTTT